GTTGTAATGTGACAAAATATGGAAAAGTTCAAGGGGTATGAATACTTTTGCAAACCACTGTACATATGAGTGAATCCCTAATGATAATATTAGTAATAATAACAATAGAAAAATGAAATGTAAACATGGTTCTAAAGTAAGATGAGCACTAAGGTTTTGTGTTTGTTTTGGAAAAGTTGAGTGTGAGCAAACAGCAGAGTAGATCTGTTAAACTGGTCCTGATGGAGACAGGTTCAACCCTGAGGAGTGGGTGGGCTCTGAAACTGATGTCAGCAGGGGGTGGTGGAAGAATTAGGGGAGTTTCTGTGGTTTATGTTTCCATAAACTCACGATCACAACAGCTTTATTGTCTGTTTACACCACACACGTGTGTACTGCAAATACTGAAGCTACTTTTACAGCTTACTTTAATTAAGTCATGTAAATTCTGGTAGAGTAGAAGTGTACAGTCATATATTAGCCCAACAGGATTAAAAAACAAACAGATTTGACAAACAGAAACCTGCCTGTAAAAATCTGAGCTGCTCTGAGGTCTGTGGTCAGACGAATACCCTGTCAGAAACAAAAGTCTGAAGGATGTTTTTCTCAGCTTTATGTTTATGTTGACTAACACATATTATTTATTTCTCCTCAGGATGAAGACTTGGGCAGCTACCTGTCGTCGCTGCTGAAGAAGGGCCTCCCCTCTGGGTTGTGCTGAAGGAATGTGTCTCCTCTAAACAGATTGATTTAAACGACAGTTCTCTGCAGGAAAGCTGTCTTTGATGCTKTTTATAGAGTCCTGTTCCAGAGGTTGTCTGTTGTTTACTTGTAAACATAAACAGTTTCTTAGTGGCAAGCATCTTGTTCTCCTCAAAAGCACACAAGTTCCTGTCTTGATGGTAAAATCCTTCTGATTAAAACTCTCAGAGACTCGTTTATGAACATAGGATCCTAATTCTGACTTTTATTTTTATTTACAAAAAGCCTCCATTAATAAACATTTTTACAAAGAAAACAAACATGTTTACAGAGTCGTGTTTACAGAGGGGTGTTTACAGCTGTGAGTTGTTTACAAAGATTTGTTTACAGTTCTGTGTTGTTTAGAGATGTGTGTTTACAGTTATGAGTTGTTTACAGAGGTGTGTTTACAGTTATGAGTTGTTTACAGAGGTGTGTTTACAGCTGTGAGTTTAAAGAGGTGTGTTTACAGCTGTGGGTTGTTTACAGAGGTGTGTTTACAGCTGTGGGTTGTTTACAGAGGTGTGTTTACAGCTGTGAGTTGTTTACAGAGGTGTGTTTACAGCTGTGGGTTGTTTACAGAGGTGTGTTTACAGTTGTGAGTTGTTTACAGAGGTGTGTTTACAGTTAATTTGTGCTGCTCTCTCTCTGGGTTCACAGCAATGACATAAACCCCCCGGCTCCTGCTGACGATCCCCCACAGCCAGGTCCTCTTCAAGCGCTCCCACCTGAAGTGGCTGGTGGTCATGTAGTACAGCACTGGGTCAAAACATGTGTTTAGGATGACGAGCGCCATGGTGATCCGGCGGGCGATGTAGATGGCGTGCCGCGCGGTGCAGCTCTGGATGACATCCATGCGTTGCAGGAGGTGCAGCAGGTACACCACGTGGTTGGGCAGGAAGCAGAGCACTGTGATGGCCAGGATGGTGTAAATGACTCGCACAGCTTTTTGGGCGGATTTAGTCTCGATCATGGAGATGCGCCTGGCTGCCAGCGGGTAGCACACCAGGATGACCACAGAGGGCAGCAGGGAGAAGACCACTAGGTTCACGATGCTGTACGGCCTCAGACGCTCGTCCCACTCTCTCCTGGCAAAGTTTTCAAAGCAGTTGGGGCCCGAAGAGTCACCTCCAGTTTCCAGTGGGCCCATAAGGATAAAAACCAGGATGGCCACTCCGCAAACGCACCAGAGCAACCCACTCACAATCAGAGAGCAGCGGGAGCTTCGCATCTTCAGGTAAGTGTGGGGGTGCACGACGCCCATGTAGCGGTCCACACAGATGCAGGTCATGAAGCAGATGCTCAAGTAGATGTTGGCGAAGTACAGAGTCCCTGTGATCAGACAAGCAGACTCTCCGAACACCCATTTGTTCCCGTGGAGGTGGTAGTGGATCCTAAAGGGCAGCGTGAGGAGGATGACGATGTCTGCCAGAGCCAGGTTTCTGATGTAGACGCTGAAGGCAGTGCGGGGCGTGATCCTGACAGTGAAAACAAACAGCGCCACAAGGTTTCCTGGTAACCCTACTACCAAAGCCAGGATGTAGACGGCCGGGAACAGTTGGTACTGGAACTCGGCTGCAGGGTCGGTGCAGTTTGTCACGTTATCTGTAACGTTCATGCTGACAGAGACGTTGAGGATCAAAAAGAAAAACAACGTAGGCTGGTTTCCTGAAGTCAGCTCTGCAGAGTGGCTCCTGTAAGTGAAACAACACGTTTCCATTCAGAACTTTCCACTTTTACTTTCCTGTAACCTCAAACACAACCAGATTACAATAAACTGAAGTTTGATTCTGCCTGAACACTTTATTATATCTCCAGAAACACATTAATCCTAATTCTGAACATGTAATGACTTTCAGGAATGCAGGATTTAAAAAAGATGAAGTCGGTAGCAAAAAAACAGCATTCAGATGAAAGGGTTTCTGCTTTAGTAACAAGAAWGATTTTATTTAGAAAATTTGTTCTCAGATTTAAG